CCTAGAGAAAAGACTCCACAAGAGTAAAGCCATCTGTTTCAGCCTTTAATCCAGATGCTCCGTAACCATCAACGAGTGTTAACTTTATCAACATCGGCTTTATTAGCCTCGTTCTGGATATTGGCCATGTAGAGATTTGTCTTGTCAGCGTTGTTTCATCTGTTCAAGTGCTTTATCCTTGGCTTCATTTTTCATATTTTTTGCTGCAACAGTTGGGTTCTGTTTTGGTTTTCTACAGAATCTACCAAATGTAAATCTCGTTTGTATTTACAACCTTCTTTCATGATTGAATTTCTTTTTCTGTTTTCGTGTTGTTTGACTACTTGTATCATCCAGTCCTTGTTGTTTCCATGTATGTTAATAAACCAATAGTTGTTAGCTTGTATGACAATTCTAGCTAAATAAGGTCTCTTTGGATGATGAATGTTATGCTTTAAAAATAGATTTCTTTTCTTAGAACCCATTCATCTGATGTCATTTATTATTATTATTATTATTATTATTATTATTTCGGGATCAATAATATTACAGAAATAATAAATAACATATACGACAGTCGAAACATATCGGAAGACCTTAGTAGATCCATCCATCTCCTCCCCCGCTATGGGCTATATAGTAGAACTTGTATTTAAAAATCATTGTTGTTCTTAGAAAAATGTTAATGTAATATTCACTCATCAATAGGAGGATTATTCCTACAATCCAAAATGTGTCTCGGCTTTAAATAACCCACAAAGTGTCGATAAGCCGTAAAGAAACAAATCAATCAAATGCCAATTGCAAATTAATATAAGCTCCATTGGACAGTTATCCTAAGCTTATCATCTGGCTTTTGATGAATAGAGCACATAGCAGAGTTAGACTGAAAATAGGACGGAACAGTGCAATTTCGTTAAAGGCACTGGAACAAGAAAGGTAATCTTCATGATCATAAGGATATTGGAGAGAGAGTGAGAGAACAGTACAAATACAGAAAGACGTATACTAATGTTCTATAGACTACTCATAAGCATTTTATAAGTTATGACACAACGATCTATTTGAACTACTGTACAACGTGATTTATTCGGGAAAAATATTGTAATAGTCGAGAACATTTATTGGAACCAAACAGCCTGCATACACAAAAATACAAAAGAGACGTAAGACAAGGAAGCGTTTTCTTACTGGATTTATTTAACCTTCACAGTTAAGCGATTCTAAGAGAACTAGAAGTTCTAGCAGAATTTATTATCGGTGGACACAATCTTAACGACATCAGATCGCAATGTGTTGAAGGCAAACACAGAATTGATTGATTGATTTTATTTATTTTTTTTAAGGCTTTTGCTGGTTATTTAAAGCCACAAAAATATTTTAGATTGTAAGAATTCTTCGGGAATAATAATAATTCACTTATAAAAGTGTGACACCATTTAGGGCTGCAAGGAAAAGGAAGAAAAGAAGGGAAAGAAAAAGAGAGGCGGGAATTAAAAAAAAACTTAGATGATAAAGGAAAGCCACCCAAAAGGGACATTTAGCGATGTTATTTTGATAATGAAAAATGGTGAAAGGTTTCATTGCCATTGCCGAGAATTCTAAATAGATAAAAATTAACTGTGCCGTGGTGGCGAACTTATATTATCGGGAATAGATGACGACAGGATGTGGAAGCGTCTAATGGACCAGCCACTTGGTGCTAGCGAAAAGCTAATTGACGAATTCCAGATCGGCTAGCTAACCTCCAGGACAGAATAGATAAACATTTAACTGTGTCACGGGAATGCCATTTGGGGCCTCCACAGAGTTCTAAAGAGATAGAAATTTAATAAGAATGTCCTGACCACACACAGAGAACACCCAACCCTAGGTTAAGTCTTTGTCGATGAAAGGGTGTCATTGAGAGAAAAGACATCTGGGCTGTGTTGGAATCTAACAGTGACAGCGAAACTATTTTATCAGAAATCGGCACCAAGAATGCAAATACGGCTAGGATAGCGAAACTACCTTATCGGGACGAAAAGTTGGCTGTGTTTCGCTAGATGACCACCCACTTGATAATTGGCGAAAATATGATTGACGAAGTCCATATGAAAGTGACTTTGGGATAAGAATTGAGATTATCACACTAAGGGTCGTATTGTTCTGTTGGCGGCCAGAGAAGAAGAGAGAAAAGTAAAAGAAAGAAAGGAAATAGAAAAAGAAAAAGAGAAGATCATTTTTTTTTCTTTGATCAAGATATTTTTTTAAAAAAAACAAGGCTAGTCTGGTCACACCCACACTGTCGAACGCCAATTGGATGAAGGTTAACGAGAACCAGGCGGAGGTGATCAAGTGATGCAGGGGGAGAGGCCTGCTACCACTCATTAAGAGGATAGGTATGAGATGTTACTGCAAAGGAGTAGGAAAACCGTTGACGCTCTCTGGGCGTATGGTAAGAGACCCATATGAGAACGAAAGAAGGTGGGGGTAAGAGAAGACTTCCAAAAATGGAAATAATAAATTTTTCCTGACCGAAAACAAAAGAAGGGGATTGTGGATTTGGAATTATCAAGGAACCTCAAACCCCGACAAAGCCCACCCCGGTTTTGGTCGGCGTCCATATAAGCAAAGTCACAGCGAGCGAAGTTCAGTTCAGTTTCGAGTTTCGAAGTTCGCAGTTGAAGTTGGCCCCACCACGCATTAGCTGACTAAGATTCACGCAATTCCAAACTCATCTTCAATCCAAGAACAATTTATTTTTGAAGACTCATACCACCAAAAACAAGTTTTACGACTATCGCCTGAAGACACACCAAGAACCAGTTTCTTAAAGAACAAACAACTTAAAATGTTAAGACTCGCCTAACAAAAACAACGTGTCACGAATCCATATAGCGGGTCGGGAGATAGACGCAGTCCTATGTATCCAGCAACCAGATATAAAGTATTGTTATCCTTCTTTTTTTTTTTTGATACCTTTGAACTTTTTATTTTATTTTATTTTACACATACTTGTGCGATATCACCTTTATTCGAACTCAGCTTGCAGTACGGCCCAGCGACTGATTGATTTCGTCTGTCTAGATCAATTCACAACGTGGGTAGGTTAGACTAGAAATCAAAGCGGTTACTTCGGTAACCAGACGTTGGAAGCGAGCTGGGAACGACGAGGCTGATACCGAATCTAACCAGATTCCCATCCGAATCACCAAAAGGTTAGAACGTCACATTTGGGTGCCGCGACCAATACCAAGCCAGTTGGTCGTCACAGGACAGGATAGCACGACTGACGCAGACAGGCGGACGTCACGTTTGGAGCGACGACACCCGAACGAGCGAGGAACGAGCAGCGGCGGGGACGTCACAAAAGTCCTACTAATTAACCCATAGCTGGGGGAAGAAGAGATGGATTCTTACCTTTACCAAGGATGTTTTCACGTAAGTGAACGTAACGAACTCTACTGAAATTCGAACTCGACTCTCCGATTTCCACTTCCGAGACATTATCCATTACACCAACCTCACACCCAAGCGTACAGCACCTGGTATTCCCAAGCGGTGACCCATCTAAATACTGACCAGGCTCGACGTTGCTTAACTTCGTTGATCGTACGAGAACCGGTGTTTCATCTTGATATGACCCGTAAGCTTATCAGACACAGAAAGAAAACTGCAAGAACTCTTAGAAAGGTTAGTAAAGGAAAGCGTGAAGAAAAGACTATCTATTGCAGAAGGACAGAATATATGATCGTTAGAAAGTTAACAAAAAAAGTATTAAGAAACAGTATAGTTTCATTAGAAACAAAGAAAACAGCACTAAAAGTACTGCTTACCCTCTGAAATGGCAGTGAATGCTGAACAATTTCCTCACAGATGAAACGGAAGCAACAGAGATGTGGTTCTATAGAAAAAAAATGCTAAGAATACACCGGACGGAATATGGGAACAGCTTTAACAAAGCTGGAAGCAAAAAGGACGATTACATTTAGAATCAGAAAGAGATAGTTGAAAATTATGCGACATTAAGGCTTGAAAAGTTTGGCACCCACGGGACGTGTTCTAACGCAAGAATGGCAGAAGGAAACAGAGAGTACGCTTCTTCGTGTATTCTTTCCTAACCAATTTACTACATTTGGGGTTCACTGTCTCATATCGATTTTCACACAGTCTACATTTTCTGTTTTCCTACGTTTTAGCTATCTTTAAAATATTTCGCCTTTATATAGTTGGTTCTTACTTTAATCTATAAGTATTGGCCTTATTTATACTTGTGTCTATAATTTAAAAATGGTCGTGTTTATAGGTAAATGTTTATACAGTGTGGTCCGAAAGTCTTGTCACTCCTACCTCTCTTCCAAACAGTAGTAGTGTTAGCTATCTGAAATAGAAAATTATATTATGTAGGGATGACAAGACTTTTGGACCACCCTGTACTTGAGTCTACAGACAATTATTGATCATGTTTATATTTGAGTCTATAGGTAGACATTGGCCGTGTTTATATTTGAGTCTACAGGTTGAGTGTTCATGCGTGAGTCTATAGATAAAAAGGTCATGTGCCCTTACTTGAATATATAGGTGAGCAGTGTTCGTACATACTTGATTTTGCCAAGATTTATCCAAGAGGTGACCCCTTTGCTGTAGGATTCTGCGTATTCTACGCTTCATCGACGGAGATTATTTTGTGACGGTGACCAGTCTATATTTCAGAGTCCCGAAGTATTGTGTTTATTTTATTATTGACTCCTTATACACCCACTCTCTCTCTCTCTCTCTCTCTCTCTCTCTCTCTCTCTCCCCCTTCGTCTTATTTTACTATTATTAGTAGTAGTCGTAGTTGTTTAATATTCAGTTCTTTCAGCCTCGTTCTCTTTTTCCTTCTCAGTTACCTGCTCTTAATTTTCAGCTTTTTCGTCACTTTCACCTGAGTCGGTATCTTCCTCATTTTGCACGTTGTCTATTTTTTTTTAGACTTCTTTCGTGAAGTGTTTCTGTCATATCTGGACTTGAGCTGCCCGATCCTCACTTGCCGCTTTTGTCACGCGGCGAGCCTCTCGTTGTTCTATCGCCATTTCTATGACATGTGTTCTGGCGAGCTACATTCCCTAGTCCCACCAAACCTGACCTTTGAAACTGGGACCCGCCGTGTCACGTACACAAGTGTGAATCATCCCCGGTCCCTTCGTAATCCTATAGTAATAAGTAAGTTCTTCCCGAGAATTGCTGGTTTGTGGAACAGGCTCCGGGTAGGATGCTTTCCCGATCATTACCAACTGAAGCATTTTGAAGTAGTGTAAGGTTTAACAAGCTTGATTTGCTAGATTAATTACGACTGAAGAGTTCGATCCTCACTGAGTGTTCGACACTTTCAGCCTTGTGCTACATCTAAGCTAAGTTTAGAAAATCATTTTAACGCCTGAATAATGAGTTCGACTTTACTAGGTACTGCATACTTTCGGCCTTGTGCCATATCTAAGCTACGCTTAGAAAATCACCATTATAAACTTGACCTCTGCAAGACGAGGTTTAAGTGTTATTTTTTCCGGCATAAGCCCATGAACTACACTTCTTGCCTTTTCTTACGGCCATTTACTTTTTCAGTTTCTCTCGTTTCATAATATTTTTTCTTCGAAGCAATTTCTTCCTTTGTTTTTCTTTTTTTATTATTTTTACGCTTTTTTCTTTTTTCTTTTCATTTTTCATTTCATTATTTCTTATGCGTTTCATTCTTTATTTCTTCCTTTTTATCTTTCACATTTCTACTTTCATTTTCCTTCAGATTTTTTCCTTCATCGGTTCTTTTTTTTATTTTCATTTTTCCTTCTATTAAGCCTTATTTGTTTTATTCTTTATTTCTTCCTTTTTCTCTTTAACTTTTCTGCATCCATTTTCCTTCATATTTTTTCGTTCATCAGTTTTTCTTTTTCCTTTTATTATTTCTTATTCTTTATTTCTTCCTTTTTCTCTTTAACTTTTCTGCATCCATTTTCCTTCATATTTTTTCGTTCATCAGTTTTTCTTTTTCCTTTTATTATTTCTTATTCTTTATTTCTTCCTTTTTCTCTTTAACTTTTCTGCATCCATTTTCCTTCATATTTTTTCGTTCATCAGTTTTTCTTTTTCCTTTTATTATTTCTTATTCTTTATTTCTTCCTTTTTCTCTTTCACTTTTCTACTTCCATTTTCTTTCAAATTTTTTCCTTCATCTATTTTCCTTCATTTTATTTCACTTTTTTCATTTTACTTATTTTTTAATAGAGTATCGCCTGATTTTCCTTTTTATTTTTTTGTTTTATTTATCATTTTTCTTCCTTTTTTTTCTTTCTTTTGTCTCACTTCTTTCTTCTCGCTTCTGTTTTTCTTCCTTCTATTTTTTAATATTTTGTCTTCTTTCTACTTTTCATTCCATTGTATTCTTCATTTTTTATTGATTGAATTATTTTTCCATTTTCATCACTTTTACTTATCTAATGGTCTCCCGCTTCCTTCTCTTATTTTCTTATCAATACTTTTTTCTACTTAATCCAATTATTTTAAACACCTGGCAGCTGAAGTACTATTAAAGATAAATAATGAAATCAAAAGAACATAACGAAAGAAAGAAAGAAAGAAAGAAAGAAAGAAAGAAAGAAAGAAGAAAGAAAGAAATGAACAAACGAGAAAGAAAAAGAGAGAGAGAGAATGAAATGCAAAAATGAGAAAGAAAGAAAGAAAGAAAGAAAGAACGAAAGAAAGAAAGAAATGAACAGGCAAGAAAGAGAATGAAATGCACAAACGAGAAAGAAAGAGAGAGAGAATGAAATGCACAAACGAGAAAAAAAGAAAGTGAAAAATAACAAACAAGAAAGAAAGAAAGAGAGAGAGAATGAAATGCACAAACGAGAAAGAAAGAGAAAGAGATAGAATGAAATGCACAAACGCGAAATAAACAAAGAAAGTGAGAATGAAATGAACAAACGAGAAAGAAAGAAATGTAAAACGAGAAAGAAATGAACAAACTAGAAAGAAAGAAAGAAAGAAAAAACGAAATAGAAATAAAGAAAGAATTGCAAAAGCGAGAAAGAAAGAAAGAAAGAAAGAAAGAAAGAAAGAAAGAAACAATCAAATAAGCAAACAAAAGAAAAAGAAAGAAATAGGTAACAAAGGGAAAACCACGAAATTCAACACAAATAATTGCAGCTTTTCATGATCCGACACTAAACACGAGGCTACTTATTGATTTTAAAAGCAAAAGAGAAAAAGGCTTGTCGTTGATTGAGTTGAGTGCACTTAGATGGGTGGGCAGGAAGCCTAAGGAGCGCATCTTAGAAGAGTTGGGGGAATCTCAATTAAAACACCGATATTGGAGCTCTCCTCGAATGGAAGTCCAATTGTTAACCTGCTATTAATATGCTGGACAAGTCTTACTGGCCCTGAGCTGTGCCGACGCCAGGATTCAGTAATTGGCTAATACTACTATAATGACTACTACTAGTAATAATTCAAATAATAATCATTCTAAAACTTTATGAAATAATGCTTCTTTTCTGCTCGTCGAGACGATGTTTTTTTGGGTTTTTTATCGTTTTTAACTTCATAGAAACTTCTAGATAAAAACTCCTTTCGTTTCTTTTCAACCTGATTGCGCCATTTGTCAATATGTCAATTTTAAATGCAATTTTAATTATTTTACTTAGATGTAAAGATTAAACTGTTTCTGATAAAGATGGTGGGTGCTATATTTTATCAATTTTCCGGTGGAATATCGACACCGAACCTAGGTTTCTTTGGGTGCCTTTGAAAGAAAATTGGTCGGAAGTGCTGGTTTAACACTGAGTGCAGAGTCCGTTTTGGTCTGAGCCCAGTACATAATGGGCTCAACACACATCAAACCCTCTTAGAACAAAGCTCCCTTATTAACATTAAGTTTGATTCAGATTATCTGGTATCTTCTGGAATGAAGCACATACTACACTAGGGCAGGTTGATTTTTCAGTTTTTTAGAAAATCAATACTATACTCGATGTCAGACCTGGGATTTGATGCGTTAAGTACTGATGTAATGAATATGCATACACCTGGGTTCCCCCTCACAGTAATATGATTGGCTGGTGTCAGCAATAAATACAGACTGATGTGGAGGTACATGGACTACGCCTATTGCCTTCGCCTATTGCCTACCACTACGACGAGGACCAGTCCATTACGGTTACCTGCTAGATTGTCCTACCCGGTTAAAGTAGTCAACAACCACTTTGCTACTTCGAACAAATATATTCCTTTCCGGGACATATCAAATACTGACACCAGAAGATAGATTCATACCTTATACCAATTTTTGAGCGTTTAATTTTAAATATCGCTTTAAAAAAATGTACAGAAATACCTAATTTCCGTAGGTTTTTACTTACAGACTGACTTAACTATTTCAAGAAAAAATCTAAATAAAATTCATATTTTTCGTATTGAATACATTGAATGGCAAATATATATTAGATACATTGAATGGAAAATATATTCAAACGAAAATTCTAATTATAAATCAACGCAAGCAAAATATGTATTTATTAATTTATTAGAGTTTTTTTGTAACGTGTTGAAATCTTTACAGTATTTTATATTCTTGAAGTTATTGCAAACATTTTTTGTCGACATTTACAAACTCAACTTTTTGTTCAATTTCACAAACCAATTATTGAAATTTGAATAAGCTGATTTGTTTCGAAAAATACTTTAACAAAAATCCTATTTCGCTGTTTAATAATTTCTTTAATTTAATTTATAAGGATTTGTATAAGTAAACAATATTTTTTTAAGAAAATTTCTTCCTTTTTTTTTTCCTTTTTAACAGCAAAAAACAAATTCTTATGATTTCTTACTCCTGAGGATGCAACATACAAGTGGCCATGCGTAAATACTTCTTTCTGGAGCCTCGTTTTGGCCTCGTTTTTGTTTATAGTTCTTTTAAACGCACGGCGAACTGGAAACTGGATTCTTGTCCATTCGAAAGGATATTCGGATGGTTGAGGAATAAAATTTACTCTTGGGATTAATAACACCCATCCTGTTCCAAACGCGGTACACTGTAGTAGTCTGTTGTCAAATTTGGTTTCGATTGGTCAATGTATTTTAGAAGGTGTGACGGACGAACTAACGAAAGTCACAGAATTTTATATACAGACTAGCAGTATTACCTGTCTTCGACCGGGTCTTTCATTGCTGGGAATTTTGCCGCTCTGTTGGAGCAGTTTAAAGTCAGCCCACCCGAAAATCAATATTAGTAACAATAATTGGGTGCAACTGAGGCACATCCCCAAATAGGGGGGGTTAACAATTTGAATGGGGGAGGTGGCCCTGAGTAGAGTCGTTTTGCGTTCTCAATCTTGTTTCAGCCTCACGCACAGCAGCAGTTGAAGAGACCGTTGAGTGCTTTGATCATCATTATCCTCCTCGCGCGCAGAAGCGTTCGAATGAAAACTGTGGAAACGCAAAAACAACATCCGATCACACACACACACACACACACATTTTAAGAATTATAGATATAGATTATTCTAATAATTGAAACTATTTATTTTTTATTAAAGTTTTTATGAAAGATATATATCCAAGAACAGATAGTAAATAGTAAAACGCTGCTGAGAGTTATAATGGAGAGGAAGTAGTGGAGAGCCATTGTCACCAACAATTTGGACTCAAAATCGGCACTGAAGAATTTTTTATCAAACAAAAACATTTCATCAAATTGTATGAAAACTGTGGAAATACATAAACAACATCCGATCACACACACACACACACACACACACACACACACACATACACACACACATACACATACACATTTTGAGAATTATAGATAAGAATTTGCTATAAGACTTTCACTGATCATTGGAATGAAATTCCAACGCTCCAATTTTGAACCTAAACATAATCTTTAAAATCGTTTCTTCAGAAAACGGTAACGATTTGGTAAATGTAATTTATCATTATTTATCTTGTCAAACACAAACTTTCAAACTAAGTGCAGTACCACGGTACCAAAACGCGACCTGCCCTCTTACTACAGAAAGAGTCGTGATCCGTGGAGATTTTAAAATAACCACAACAACAATGAGAGTAGTAATTCTGAATTACTTTATTCTCGTACCAACGAGAAACAAATAGAAAAATACATTCGGCCTCTGGCCACTAAGCTGTTTATATAACACCGGAGAAGGTAACTTATGTCCGCCGGTGTCTGCCCCTGGAAGTCTCCCCATTATCTAATGAGATTTTCCATTTCTACTCTACAGAGATAAAGATGAAAATAACTGGAATATATATATACAATGTCTATTTAAGCAGATTGTTTTCGAAGATGCGCTTTGTGGTTGAGATAGTTGAGTATTTGCCATATTTTCCAGTGGTGTGTTTTCCAAAGCATGTAAATAAGATTTCGAATCCGCCTGATAGTCAAGGAGCTAAACATTAGTGCAACTAAAGAGGTTATCCTATCAGTAGATGCATTATATCATGGTTACTGCATTGCCATTTTGTGAATGAGTTCTGCACCATGTAGTAATTTCTCTTTCTCTCGATACCCTGATGATTAATTCGGGTGGAGTTTTACAAATGCAGTCTCGCTACCTAACTTCCTCGCTTTCCCATCTATCCAGAAATCAGGCTACAGTTTCAAGAGATTAAACCTGATTTCATAAGCTCTTCCAGAAATCAGGCTACAGTTTCAAGAGATTAAACCTGACTTCATAAGCTCTTCCAGAAATCAGGCTACAGTTTCAAGAGATTAAACCTGACTTCATAAGCTCTTCCAGAAACCAGGCTACAGTTTCAAGAGATTAAACCTGACTTCATAAGCTTTTCCAGAAACCAGGCTACAGTTTCAAGAGATTAAACCTGACTTCATAAGCTCTTCCAGAAATCAGGCTACAGTTTCAAGAGATTAAACCTGACTTCATAAGCTCTTCCAGAAATCAGGCTACAGTTTCAAGAGATTAAACCTGACTTCATAAGCTCTTCCAGAAACCAGGCTACAGTTTCAAGAGATTAAACCTGACTTCATAAGCTCTTCCAGAAACCAGGCTACAGTTCCAAGAGATTAAACCTGACTTCATAAGCTCTTCCAGAAATCAGGCTACAGTTTCAAGAGATTAAACCTGACTTCATAAGCTCTTCCAGAAAACAGGCTACAGTTTCAAGAGATTAAACCTGACTTCATAAGCTCTTCCAGAAATCAGGCGACAGTTTCAAGAGATTAAACCTGACTTCATAAGCTCTTCAAGTCTACAGCCAGCCGTTATTTATTGTAAATATCCCCAGCTTACTGCCATATCACGTTGAAACACCGGTTCGAGTACGATCACTGAAGTTAGGCAACACGGACCCTGGTTAATACCTAGATGGGTGACCGCTTGGGAATACTAAGTGCTGTAAGCTTGGACGTACGGTTGACGTAATGAATAACGGCACCGAGTTGGAAATCAAAGAGCCGAGTTCCAATTCCGGTCGAGTTTGTTGTATCCACTTACGCGCAAATACCCTTGTGAAAGATATGAATCCACTCCTTCACCATCATCCCTTCATGGCTATGGGCTCATTACTAGAAATTATATGAGTAAAATCATTCAAATCACGTAAAAAATCGCCGATGACAATCGCAGTAAGGAAAATTTGAGAATCCAAACTTTCAGTATTGCATGTTCGGATCCAGACAGAAAGGTTTTTAATTTGCTAACGGAGTCAGCCTGATTTTAAAATGATATGATATGTTAGGCTACGGCCTCTTGGAGTAAATTTGAGAACATTATTTTTTTTTTCATTTGAAATGAGCTATTAAAAAGCCGTTAAAGAGTTGTGCCCCTTTAAGTTGAAAAAGTGTGACACACTGACATTCGCATTTGTTATAGATAGATAGATAGATAGATAGATAAATAAACTTACTTGATATGCATACAGCCCCTTCCATGGTTTTTGCTACCATCTCTAATTAGGATACCCACAAATCATGTGGACCTGATGGTATCCCGGTAATATTCCTTCAGAAATGTGCTCCTGAACTGGTTCCAGTTCTCTTTCAACTGTACAGTAAGTGTTTCGCTGCCTCTTAATTCCCTGCTTGTTGGAAATCCTTATCTGTTGTTCCCGTCTCTAAGAACTCAGGAGAACCATCTGGCCTTTCCAACTATCGGCCTATTAGGCTTCTACCTCCTTTCGATAGACTACTAGAGGCCCTAATCAATTCACAATTGATTAAACATCTCACATCACAGGGCCCTTTTCAGACAGGCAATATGGTTTCCGTTTCTTTAGTTCAACTGCTGATGTATTAACGATTATTGCAGAAAGAGACGGTCAAGCTTTAGATAAGAATGGTGAAGCTCGGACTGTTGCTTTGGATAGCTCGAAAGCGTTCGACAGGGTTTGGATACCGGTCTTCTTCAAAAATTGAAAAGTTATGTTGCCTGTGAACGAATTTTCGAACTGATTCATTCTTCCTTATGAAATCGCGAAATGAAAGTTGTCCTGAACGGCCAATCTTCTAGATCATTTCGTACTAATGCAGGTTTTCCCCAGGGTCCTATCCTTAGTTCTACTTCGTACTTAATTTTCACCAGTAACCTTCCTGGTGGCATCAGCTCTTAACTTGCTTTCTATGCTGATTATACAGCCATTTACTTCTGCCTCGATAGTAAGTTTGATCAGATCAATGAAGTCAAATTGGCGGCTGATCTAAAAAAATTACCTCCGGTCTGTTGTTAACTGAGGCAAAGGATGGCATATTAAATTTAACGTCTCCAAAACAAAACTGCTCTATTAATCATCTGAGATAACTCTTTCTGCTTTCCATCGGCATGGCTAATGCTAGCCTCTAGGAGAGTGAAGCGTCAGGACTTCTCAAGCTAACATTCTCGGCTGACATGAAGTGGAATAACTATATTGAATCAATTGCTACGAAAGTTGCTTCACTGTGTCATGGTAGACAATTTTTCTCTCCTGAATCTATCTTACAAATCTATAAGTCTACCATTCATCCATGCATCGAATATTGCTGCCACATTTGGCCCGGTGCGCCTGCTATATATTTTGAGATTCTTGATAAATATTAATGGTTCTGACCTGGCTTCAATCACTTTCATGCAACCATAAAGTTGCTTCCTCGTGCTTTTTCTATAAATACTTTCATGGTAATTGTTTAGATGAACGTCTTTGCTATGGTACCTAGATTGTATGAATTTAAGCGCAGTACTAGAAAAAAAATTAGCAACAAATCTCAACAATTTACAGTTGAATTGGACGTAACCATAAGTTCTATGCTAAAAGTTTCTTTTCTCGCACTTCTCGCTTGTGGATCTCTCTGCCGATTCCATGCTTTCCAGTTAAGTTTGATCTTCAAAGAGTTAAATGCAATGCCAATCGTTATCTACTGTCTTCCTGATTAGACTTCTATTGTTCTTGTTCCTCAATAATACTTCTTTTATCTAATTCTTTCTCGCCCAGTAACCCCTTATTTCGTAGTGGTTCTAATGCCTTTCATGGGATGAATCATATATATATATATATATATATATATATATATATATATATATCATGTACTCATGACAGCCAACTAATTTTCATTATTTCGCATCTCAAATACTATAAACAGTGAGATGGTAAAATTGTTTTTATTTTAAAAATGGCCTTCACTGGTAGAAACGAAGAGGGGGCATTACTACGTCTATTGCTTCTTATTTAATTGAATTTTGATTTGAAATTCTCACTATATAATATTTTTATATTCACAGATTAAGTGCATTAATAAATATTTTCTGAATAAAATAAATGTTTTTTTTTTAACATTAAGCATTGCTTGTTCATCTGACTGATACAGTCGTCCGTAAAAAAATACATTTTTATTTGATTCAACAATTGAAAAAAATCTTAGTTGGCCCAAAACATTTGTAAGCTTTTCATGTATCTCCTCATACAGCGAACGCGAAATATTTTCAATGAAAATTTACAGTTTTAATGGAATTGATTCACTTGGTGCAGGTCTATCGGTATTTCGACATCAGACTAGAAGGCACCAAGAAGAAGTCTTCGATCTCCGCGTTCACTAATTTTCTGTCACTTTCTTTGCTTGGAGAGAAAATTAAGCGACAGCACTGCAACCCGACTCTAATAAAATGTAAAAAAAAAAATTACTTGGTTCTCAACAAAAGGGTACTGTCCAAAATGCGAATTAAAAATTGGAGATGGCAAAATCAAGCAAATACAAGAATGTTAATATCTAGGAACTAGGGCGGACAATGTTACGCCGAAATTAAAAGGTGCATTGGGATAGCAAAAGATGCTTTCCACAAGCTAAGCAAAATATTTAAAAACAAAGTTAGAAATAAAGAAAAGTGCACTGAATTGTAATGTAATATCAGTCCTTCTATATGGCAGTGAATGTTAAACAATCTCCGCCCATATGAAGAAAATCTGAAACAAGAGAAATGTGGTTCTACAGAAGGATGCTGAGGATACCATGAATTGAACATGTGAGCAACGAAGATGTTTTAGAGGAAACTGAAACAAAAAGGACACTTCTGATTATCATTAAGAGAGAGTTGTAATTTCTAAGTCACATAATGAGGAAAGAGGGCATGGAAAATTTGACACTCACAAGGCATATTGAAAGCCAGAGGGACAGAGAAAAGCAGCACATAACCCACCGAAAGCGCTTGTGTAAATGGCTGACAGGACAAGGATTAGAAGAGATAGCATAAAAACAAAATTTAATGAGCTGCAAAGGACGGGAAATTGAGGAGAGACAAGATCACCCATGTCCTGAAGGGAAAAGACATATAAAGAAAGAAGAATCATAGCTTGCCCCGAATCAAAAGCTTCAGACATTATTCTAACCACTTTCGTGATCCGAGGTATAAATCATCTTGCGTTAACAAATTGAAAATGGAACAGAGACACTTGCACCATTTTTTGCGAAAATTTTCGTTTATTGAAAAGTTTGAGAGAACTCTTTCTACATTCCATCGGCATGGCTGATGCTAACCCCCAGGACAGTGATTCATTGCACCTTCCCGTTCTAACGTTTTCAATTGACATTAAGTGGAAATCAACTGGTAAGTCTGCTGCTGCAAAAGATGGATCCATTGTGCCGTGCAAGACGATTTTTCCGCCTCAGAATCCATCTTGGATATTTACAAATCTACTATTCGCCCGTGCATTGAATATTGCTGTCACACCTGGTCTGGTAATCCTGCTATATATTTAGAGATTCTTGATAAAATTCAAAGAAAACTCTTCAATGTTATTGGTACTGACCTGGCATCTCTGCTTCAGTTATTTTTCCCACCTCCATAATGTAGTTTTCCTGTACCTTTTCTATAAATACTTTCATGGTAATTGTTCTGATAAACTTTCCTCTATTTATTTTCTTTAGTTTCTTGTAAATAGTTTTTGTATTCATATTTGTAAATACTCATTGGGGCTGTTTTTTAGAACTGTTGTTTTATTCCCTTCCCCCCACAGACAATGAATTGTAAATATGGGGACTAGTTAGTATTTTCATAGAGACAAAGAGGTATTATGGTGGTTGTAGTAAGAAAGGTACGTATGAATGTGTTGTTTTGGTGTAAGGAATATTGTTCGTACGATTGTGTCAGTGTTTGCGGCTAGCTAAGTTATAGTTAAGACAGAACAAGACCGTCCTTTCCCCAATCCCCGCTTTTGGTCATGTGCCACATTTCTGTATTAAACAGAATAAATATGACTTTCCTCTATGGAATGTTATTTTTATCCAACGTCATCGCCAGGCAAATTTTACATATAGGAACAATATAGGACTTCATAGAGACTTTGAGGTATTATGGCGGTTGTAGTAAGAATATGTTGTTTTGGTGTAAGGGATACCGTGGTATGTTTGGGTCAGTAATCGTAGCTAAGAGAGGTTTGTCGATGTCACAATCGACATTTTTTAAAGCTTTTATATCACAGCTGATATGTATGAGCCTTCGCTGCATCCGTATATACTACACAGATGTTTTTAAATAGCTTTCTAACAGTACTGCACTTTTGGGAATTGATAAGACAGATTAAAAACCAGCCTTCCTCTATCCCTCCTTTTGGCCTTGTGCCACATTTTGCATTACTCAAAATATATATTACTTTCCTCTATGTTTCCTAGAATTTATGAATTTAAGCATAGTATTAGACTGGTGGTAGGGTCCCATAATTTTAGAGTTGAAATGGCTCGATGCAACCGTAAGTTCTATGCTAAAAGTTTCTTCTATCGCATTTCTCACATACGGAACTCTCTTCCGGCTTCTTGCTTTTTAGTTTGATCTTCGAACATTTAAATTCAATGTCAACCGTTATCTTCTGTCCTTTTAGTTCTTTTTCTTTTATTATTTTCTCTTCTTCATAGTGTTTTTTTTTCTCGTATTGTCTGAC